AAATAAATAAATGAATGAATGAATGAATGAATGAATGAATGAATGAATGAATGAATGAATAAATAAATAAATAAATAAATAAATAAATTTGTTCAGGCAGACTGTAATGCACAGTCTAATTTTGTTTTTACATTTATATTTTATATCACACCTTTCTATCAAGGAGCTTAAAATGGCATCACTGTCCCTCATCCAACCTACAATCACAGAATTGTTGTAAGGATTAAATGGATGCAGATTTGTGGAAAAAAAATGTCATTGCTGGTACAGGGTGCAAAGTGTGGCCTTCCACATGCTATTGGACTGCAATTTGCCCCTGGTTTTACTGGTTAGGCTATAGGAAACTGCAATCCAAAAACATAAGCAGAATTGAGCTTTGCCCACCCCTGACATGTGCAGATCCAAGCCCCTTGGATAAATGCTTCATCCCTGATATCTTTAATATCTAGAAAGTACATACATACATTTCAAAACCAATCACCCTAAACACACTGGCCTGCAACACATGTGAGAGTTCCAAGCAGGCATGGAAGTTACTGCAAAGCTGAAGATGTCCAGTCTATCAAACTTCTTATTTCCCTATAAACCATATCCCAAACCTTACAAAAAAGAGAGAAATGCCTGTTTTTATTTTTCTGGATTATATAAAAATTACAAACTGCAGATATTAACTGCAAATAACACAGTTAAACAATCTGTTATAGCACTAAAAAAACAGTATTGCACCATAAAGTTTCAGGGAGCTGGGGAGGGGGAGGCGCACACACCTTGGAAACATTAGGCATGATCTCTTTGAAATACGTACTGTAAATCATTAGGAGAGCTGCAATTCAGTGAAACCTATTTTTTAAAAAAAGATCTCACAGCATAACCATTTCTGAACTGTACCACTTCAGATTACATGTACAGAAATGGAATATCATGAAACATACAATCAAACCCCTCCATCCAGGAAACTACCAGGAAGAAGACTGTACATTCTAGGCTTGATACTCTTGCTTTATTCCTGATAAAATTAAATTTCCAAGTGTAGAATTTTATTTGTGTGGGCAGAGAGAAAAGGTAACAGTTAAATATGAAAGCCCCACAAAGAAGTGGGACAATTTAGAACATAAACTTTAGTTGTTTGTGCAGATTAAGCCATAAGTCTGGCAGAAGTCTCCAATTCAGTGTAACACGTGGTGATGACTAGTCTCAGAAATGCACTACATTGAAATATTCAGCAGATAGTGGCAGCTCTCAAGTTACAACATGTTTTACTTATGCTTCAGCAACAGCAGTGAAAGCTGGAAGATCTAACTATCATCCTACCTTGGCTTCTCAGTGATCAGTTGGGCTACTCAGTCAGGACCCAAAAAAGGACCAGGCATCTCAGAGGTAATACACTGATAATTGTTTCTAAGGAGCTGACTATGGTTCTGTTTCCTTGCTATCATAAAGAAAGGTTTATGGAGGCTGCTAAGCTTTCCTAAGATCTTGCAAGGACTTTGTGGGAAGTAATATCATGCATTGTGCTGTATAGGCAATTTAGTTTAACACAGTACTGTTACAGTTATTTCATAACACATAATTTTGATAATGGCTACAATTTTCTTCCATATATTGTACCAAACAACACAGTGTAGTTTGTCCAACTAAAACACTGTCTAAACTGAACTTATTAGTTCTGAAAATAATATTCAGCATATTTGTTTCTGATTTGGATGTTTGCCACTGATTTATTATCAATGTACAGTATTTGATAACTTGGATTTTTCAGTTCAAATGCAGATCAATATTAAAATTAAACACATGGTCAAATATTAGTTACAGATACTTTAGAGAAATGTCACCATAAACAACTGCAATGTGCATTTTCAAACATCTATATTAGAAGCAAAACTTAGTAACTTGGCACTTTTAACATTTTGTGATTATTTTAATCCAAAAAAACAAAAACAAAGCTGCAGCTAATCTTTAAGCAGCATAATGATTAAAGACCATTAAATACTCCAATTTCAGGAGGAAACAATATACAGTCCATCAATACTAAAATTATATTTCAAAATTCTAGAGCATTAAGCCTGGAAGGTTTACTGCTAATTAGAACCTTTTGCTAAAAATCATTTTTTTAATTTGAGCCATGTTTTTACAAAGAAAGCTGAAAACAGGTTGCTTTTAGGAGGTAAAGTATTGCTTTAGTTTAGAGCTTCTCAGCTCTGAGACCCATAAAACCACTCATAGTACTGTTGCTTCATTTTGGTGTTGAAGAAAGTAAAGCTTTCTAAACTAGCTTTAATTGTAAATTATCAGCATGTGCTTAGACCTTTTGATACATATTGAAATATTGTGCTGGATGCAGAGCAACAGGGAACAACACCAACTAAACAACTCCATAGATAAAAGCAAAGAAGGTGGTTCTTGATAAATCCCTCTAAGCCCACATGCGTCTGACAATTTGTTTGAAAGCATTTAAGGAGTGGGATCATATAGACGGGGACAATAGACAAAGAGGAAGGAAGAATCTATAAAAATCATTGCACTGCTGTTTCCTCCATGGAAGAAGTCCTGAATCAAGCCCATCAGAAATAATCTTCCCATACTTATCTATTCTCTTGAACAAGCTCTGGCATAATGAAGGGTTCTTAATGACTGAGGGAGTTTCTGTGAGCCAAACCTATGAAAACCGTTTGCACTTCTGGATGAAAATCCCAGATGAGATTCCTCACAGGAATTTAGGAATATAACATGTTACAATAGTTCCTCTTCTTGAATTCCAAACTACCACTTTTGCTATGCATTTTCTGTAGCTACATATTGCCAACTTGTCTCTTATGTTGGCCACATGTACTGAATTAGAAACATTTTAGTCACTTAGTTTTAAATCTCTTTCTATGTGTGTGTCTGCATACCTATGTGCACAAAGGAGTAACTTTCAAGGATGTCAAGAGAAGAAAAACAGTTGGAACTTTCCAAAGTATCTCAAAAGCATCACAGCATTAATCATGTTTGAGGCAAATGCCTGAAACTCACAATTCTTTAGCGAATGCAGAAACATTTAGTCCTCCACCCTTAATCATTGTTAAATGATTAGAAGTCCATACTGCCCCAACTGAATATATGAATTGTTCCTATATACATGCTGCACAGGAGACATTCTGTGACAGAAACAGTCTTGCAAAATTTGAATAATAGAGAGTATGCTACCAATGCTGTAAAGATTACCCAATTTATTTGGGTATTTAAGATAGAAAATACAAATAGTTTCCATCACAGTGATTATTATAGAATAAAACAATTGGTAATCTGCCGATCTGTAATAAAGCTATCTCATTTGCCTACTGGAAGGGCCAACTCTGAACATCAAGTGTTCTTAATAAAACATAATAATAATATGGACATCACTGAATGCTTTTCTGTTTTGAAAAAATATTCAGCTTTTAGATTTCATATGCTACTACATCTCTAATGCTTTAAACACTCCAACATTTGACCTTTTCCCTCTTACAAATATTTTGGATTTCTCAGTATTCAAATATATTGTTAAACAATATTTCACACTTGACAAAATAGTGTTCCAGGTCTCGTTACATTATCTGTGCAGCTTTAGCTACACAAAATGCATTTTTTGTTCTCTTCTTTATATCAAGAACAATGCTTCTTTAAACAAGATTTCTTTTCTCTCTTTCACATACACACATATCAACAGTGCTCCACATTAACAGACTACGTATACTAACATTAACTTTCAATAATTTTTAAAACATAAATTGTTTATGCAGGCTATTATAATGGGGGCCCATCAGTGTGCAGTTGTTGGTAAATTGCAAACACTTTTAGCATTTCATTTTGATAGTAAATCATTTGATGGCTATTCTGCTCTAAACAGACTGACCAACAACAATTACTTAAAATACTCCTTACTTTACCACTGACCAGGAGATGTAAATTGAGTCATATAAACTCAGATCAGTGAGCAATCATTTTACAAAATGCATATACTACAGGAACGAAAGTATTAACGAGATCCAGTCAAACCTGAGCAGCTGTAAAGAACCATAAGTGCTGAAATATATTATTTGCAATGAGTATGCTTAGCTGTGTCTGGATCATGACCTGAAATTAACCAGATGTCTTCTGCACTGAAACAAACATATTTTCTTGAACCTGCTTAAATGCAAACAAGCCAATTGTCAGAACATGAGCAAAAACCTCTCTCAAATTCTGTGAATCTTTCCTCCACCATCAAAGCCAAGCTGGGGAGAAGCCAGCCTCACAGACTGAACACGGCTGGTCTTCCCTGTTTTTGACTGTTATAAAGATTTCTGAAAATTATTAAAAATGGCCACTAAAAGGCAAGGATATTTAGCTATGTCAGCCCAGGTCAGCCCTGTGAGTAGAATTTCATAGAGCAGATAACAATATTTTTAATATAAGCAAAGATATTAAATGGCCATATTTTTTATGTAAATAAAGGAAACATGTCATAAAGTCTGGCCAGCAGCCTGCTTTTTTCATGCTATTTCCTTCCCCTGGTTTCTAACCCAATCAATTTCATTCATTCATTCATTCTCCCTGTTACATAAAGCTGCAGCCAGACACTGAAAGCATAAAATGTTAAAAGTTAAGAATATTCAGTAGGTACTAATCATAATGATCTGGGATTTGCTATAACAAGCCAAGTAGGAGATTGGAGTCTTATGTTCCTCAACAGAAAAAAATTGACCTGTTCTTTTACAGCTATTAACAATTTAAACATACAGTTTATTACTGAACAATCTGAAGCATAACCCAGTAGCTGCCATTTAAAACAAATGACATTATCTCAAGTGCATGCCCCACTGCTTCTATCAATCTGTCACAAACTGTCAATATTGAACACATCATTATTTAATTTCATGGCAACGAGTCACAAATTACAACCCCTCCAGAAACCTGGGGCTAAGAATATTTCCAAATTGAAAAGACATGCAAGTCGGCTGCCAAAAAACTGCAAACAGATTAAATATGCACAGACTTACTTTTCGCCCATCACTTGCATGGCAGTTCACATTTAAAGGTGTCAACAAAGCCATCAGTTTTTCTTCATTGCCACTCCTACATGGTACAGAAGTAATAAATGGGAGGAGGGAATGCTTTATAAATTATTGCAAATTGAGTTCCACATTAAAGCACTATGTACTGCCACATTCAAAGTATCACCTATAGTATGATTTTCAATTTAAAAAAAAATCTAAAATCTTCTCTTTAGGAAAATGATATAAAAGTGTAATAATAATTTAATATACTATCTATATTCTACTTAGATTTATGTATCTGCTGCAAGACATTTCCCAAATATCTACTTTTGCTACATTCCACAAAACACTGTAAATAGCTTCAAATCCCGATTGTTTCCTATGATATGCTTTAATAAGAAAAGGTAAAATATGACTGTAAGCTGTAAGGCAGAAAATGAAAATACCCTAGCCCATTTTCTTTTAGTAAAAAGATCACTATCTAATAGAAATACAATCCAGAGAAGGTTATGTCGAAAATTCTACCCCCACCATACTGGATGATTATAAATAAACATCCTATTTTTCTTTTTGCATTTGGCTAAATTCCAAAGAGACTCGCACTAACAAGGCTTGTTTAGCTGCATACTATCATAAAAGGTTAATGACAGACTGACAGATCATAAAAGCCCATTTTTTTTGCCCTCGCCTTCTACCACCTTCCTTGAAAACAAACAATTTGTATTCTGAGCAGCACTTACCTAGCAGCTTCCAGGAGTTCGTCCTTCTTGTATTCACCTAAATGATTGCAAAATATCATGCTGTTAGCATTTGGCAGAAGACAGATTAAGAAATACAGCAGGAAGCAAATACAGAATTAAACAGAGAATAGAAGGGGGGGGGACAAGCAAGCCCACACCCCGCTGGGTGATGGAGCTGTGACGTTAGCCAGCTTGTGGAGGCAGCATCACCAGTGCCTTGGAGACGGGCAGCAAATTGACGCAGCTTCTTGTCCAATCCTCGGATGAAATGGCTTTCTTCAGACAACCAATGAATGCTAAACCTATGTCCAGAAACAATCCCTCTGATAGCAGCATGGCAGCTGAACACAATGTATCCCCACTTTTCCTATTCAATATAATGGCATCCTAGCACAGCATAAAAACACCAAAAAACCCTAAGACAATGACATTAAGAAAAAAGGTAGAAATAACTAGGTTCTGAAGCCATTTTAAGCTTAATAGTATTCCACAAAAATACTTTACATCAGAGCTTTTAAAGCCTCTGCCTCACAAGAGCATGTTTCTAGCCTTAAGGAAAGCAGTGCATCAATACAAAAGAGTAGAGGAGGGAAAATATTCTGGCAGCTGTATTTAAAGTCTACCATTAAAAGGCTTTCTATCAGTTCTTGTATCTTAGGGCAAAATTCTAAATTCATGCAGTGTACTGTTGTACACCACTGCCAAGTCTTCCATTAAATATCAGAAGAATTTTTCCCTTGACAAATATCGTTCCAGTCTTTTGGTCTTAAAAAACCCAAGTTAAGAACACCTGGAGCAGAAAATTTTGCATCTTCCTTTTCCTAAACTGCTAATGTGCTTCTATTTAAAAGCCATGAAATCAGGGATTTAGAAGTTCTACAATAGCCCTTCATTATTCAGACCATCTTAATGCTGCCCTTGTTGTTTGCATAATAGCAGCAACAAAATTCAGAATATCAAATGTCAAAGCTACTGTACCTTAAATTTAAGACTACCAACCTTTCCATTAAATGTCCTACATTATCTCTCTCCATCATACACTCAAAACTGCTGACTGAGATTTAATCATACACAAGATCAGGAAAAGACGATAATGCTAGGAAAACTGAAAGAAATAGGAAAAGATCTAACAAGAGATGAATTTACTTTATAAAAGAAACCATGGTCTTCAGTCTGCAAGACCTGAGCAGAGATAATAGGAACTATGGAGGGTAATTAATTCATAGGTTTGCCATAAGTCAGAAAACAGCCTGATGACACATTACAGAGTAGACATACTGAAATCAAGGAGGCCTAGTTATGATGAATTTGATCCACTGATTTCAATGGGCCCACTCTAACTACAACCAAATTTGTAATGCTCAGTCACTACTGGAATAACTGGCAGACAAGTGGACTGACACCTTCAATTCTTTATCTGGGAAGTAGGTGTAGTGACTTGTCTTCACAGGATTTCACATTGCCTTCTACCTTGGGAAGCCACTGCTGTGAGGTAGTTCATTAGTTCAATGGAAAGATCTTTCCCAACCTTACTATTCAAGCTAATTTAACTGGATGCTGGATCCAACATGTATAACGTATGCCTGAACTACTGACCCTTCTCAGTATTACAATGTGGACTTGTAAGAACGTTGAATGAACCCCATATCTTAAAAGTAAACAACCCAATATAAGTCATCTTCCTTCACCTCATGGGTTTAGTACCTAACTGATACTCTCCCAGCAGAAGCACATGATCTTCAAATTTGTGCTCATGAGAAGCTCTAACAGGAGCAAAGGTGAAAGGCAGCTATTCCCTGTCCACAACACAGCCTCCTGCACCTCTAAAATGCCATTCCAACAGATAAGGAAGATCCTCTGGAAGAGTGGTGTTAATGAGGGGAGGGGGTGCAGGTAAAAAATATACACATAAAATGACCTTTACTGGAATACAGATAAAATGAAAACATGTGCAAGTGAGTTTTTTTTGTTTTTGTTTGGGGTTTTTTGGTTAACATATGATCATCTAATCTGTCAGCTGATTCTCAAAAACTGCACGCCTGACATGAAAGAAGAGAATCAGCGCGGGTGTGGCTCTGAATAGCAAAATTCAGAATCGTCTTATCTGAATATTTAAGTTCTGAGCAATTAAACAGAGCTGTGCCCCACAGGTTGTTGTAAGGTGTGTAATTTCAGATAAGCAAACACTGTAAAATATTGCTGGTCTTAGGGTGTGTACTGACAGCAAAGTACAACTTTTACCTTGGCACACTTGCTGAAACTGCCCAATTCAAAAAATAAATAAATAAATCCATCAAAGAAAACAAATGGAAAAATATTCAAATGAGTGGAAATTGCCATATGATAGATTTTATTTAGAGCATTTATAACTAACCCTTTCTTTCATCAAGAAACACAAGACTCACAAGTGACCAACTATCCAAATACTGTACTGAGCACACGCTATTTAGCTTCATGTATTGTATGCCTTTAGACTATTTCCTGGTGATTTTTAAAAGCGCTTATATGAAAACTCTTGGAAAGATGACTGAATCTAATCTTTATTAAACTACACCAATATACAGTATATTAAAATACTGCCCAAATATTCAGATTGAGGTTATTTATGTCGTATCTCAGGAGACACACATTTTTGTCCATGCAAGCCAATTCAGGGTACAACTACAAAGCGAGAAACAAGTACAGTAAATGGATAAACTGTGAAGCTGTAGCCAGGAATCTGGGTTTTCTCAGTCACCCACACAGAAGGCGGGTGGATGGGCAGAAGGGGAGGGGAGGAGACTCAGACAGGAGGTTTGGGGAGAAGACGATTCAAACAGCAGCCAGCCTCCTCTGCCCCCACCCTGTCTCTCTCACTGCTGCTATAGCTGGATGGAATCGCTTCAAGAATGTTACAAAGCCTTTCACATAAGCTTATGCAATTGCACCATCCGAAGTGATGCAAATGGATTCACTATAAAAAAGTAGAAGCCCCAATGGCAAAGGAAAGAAAAATTCAGATTAAGGGAAAACATCCTGGGGCTGATTTTGTATTAACTTGTATATCATACAGCCAACCAAAAAGCATGCAAATCTTGCCCTTCCAATCCCAGAGCATTTCTTATATAGTGAGAATCACTGATCCTTTTTTAAATAAAATCCATACTGTATAGCAGGAGTGAGCAACACGTGGACCCACCCTTTATTATAGGCTCCAAGAACCTTAAAGGGATCTCATTTTAACCATATGACAGAAGTGCTAACAAATTTCCTTCAGCAACTGAAAACGAACCTGTGAGCAACCTGTATGCCTTCTCCAAGAAGTCAACAGTGCTCCCGGGCGACATAGTACTGTATATGACTCATTTATAAGACTACTAGTGCATCTAGCGCTGTTGTTGGCCTCTGAAAAAAGAAGCAAGGTCTCACACAGCTTATTTTTCAATTTTAAAAAATGAGAAATAATAAATTTTGTCATGGAATTTTCATCTTTACCATTGGAAGGTTTTAGAGAAATTTGCAAGTAAGCTAGACAAAAGCAGATCCCCAAACGTGTTCCGGTGGGGCTTGCATTGTTTTATTGGGGGGGTCGGTGTTTTTTTTTTCCAGTCCCAACGCGTTCTGATGGGGCTTGCAGTGGTTTGGGGGTGGCGGTTTTTTGTTTGTTTGTTTGGTAGTTTTTTATTATTATTTTTTGTCGGAACGGATTAATCCTGTTCCAATACATTCCTACAGGGAATGGTGCTTCGACTTATGACCATTTTGAGTTACGACCATACTTCCGGAATGAATTAAGGTTGTAAATCGAGGCACCACTGTATAACTATGGGGAGTTATACTTGTTCAACTCATTATCACAACTTCACACCACTTTGGACAACAAACAGCCATCAGGGATTTCCCTCCATAGATGCAATCTGGCACATGTCTGGCCTGACTGTTGAGGACTTAAGAGTAATTTTCTCTGTGTGTAATATGCTTAGATACTAAGAAAGTCATTTAATTTATATATTCGTATTTTAACAAGTTTGATATTTTTACCATGCTTTTTCAGTAAGGCTAAAGATTACTTAAAGTTATGCTTTTTAATTAGAGATGTATTCTGTCTTTTTTAAAAAGGCTTCTTTATAAGCTTCTTTATTTTTACATGATTTATGTTATTCTTACAACTTAAGGTTTGAATTTGAATGTCTTTTTGTCCAGAACTTCTCATAGTTGTAAGATTTTGGGATGGCAATCACACCTGTAATTTTTCATACATTGCAAGGAAGGATTTTTTAAAAATACTTGTGCCTACTGTATTCTTCATGTAAGACTTTTGCATTTCACAACTCTGAAGTATTTTATGCTAACGGAATATAGACACAATATTGAGAAATGAAGCTTGCAGAAATAGACAGATGAATGTTGACTAGAATTATTGTAACAATGAAAAGACATATATTGATACTCAGATGATTTTTGATATGATTGTCACGTTTCATTCTGGAGTTAACCCTTTTTTGGGATAATGACAACTGTGATAAACACAGGCTCCTGATTATTACCCTGGACGTCTACAAAGTTCTATAGGACTCTTAGGGAAGGTCAGGCTTAATGGTTTATCTGATCTGATAAGACGTTTATTTTGAAATCTTGATGTAAATCCCTATTTTATGACAGTATCAAAACTATTTGTTATATCCAGTCTCATAAAACTGAAATGTACATAGTGTACTGTATATTGTTGAAACAATACATAGATCTCATCAATTATATACCAATCACCTCATAATTTTTTTTGTAAGCTGTTACAGTTTTCTGCAATTACATCCAAATCACTTGCAGGTCTCTGGTTCACAGTCACAATACTTTCCTAACCACTGCTGCCTTTATTAAGCAGGTGATTTAAGTTGTAGTCATGTTGGAGCACTAGCTGTGCACAGCCTATGGCTCTGACTATATATTGCTATAATTATCGACATATAACAATGTTGGCTATTTTAATTTTATCTGCACAGGTTTTTCTAACCACTTAAAACATACTAATAATGTTGATTTTATGAACACTGTGTTTTA